AACATCTGGTGAAAATTTAATGTCATTAGCACCTCTAGTAATATATTTACTGAGAAAAATGATGACGTGTTCAATACTTATTTTACCCGCTGTAAATAAAATCAGAATACAATGATTTGCAAATCCCTTTCAAACTATATTCAGTTGAACATTGCAAAGTTAAAATCTTTATGTTCAAACTGATAAACTTTGTTATTCAAACTGATAAACTTTATTAGTTGAATTCAAAATGAGATTTTAACAAACACAACTATTGATAAAACTCACCCACACCTGAGACTGATGCCCGTCATGTATATTGAGTGCTAATAGAACACAGAGTGTTCATTTGGCAGTGGGCAGTATGCATTCCTTCAGTGAATGTTAACTTCACCCTAAAAATAAATGTTAAAGCTAAAATGAAGTTGGCGCCTTCAAAAGAGCACAAAACACCCACTGCATTACCTGACAAAGTTTTAACCAAAGATCTTCCACAATGAGTTGCACTCATGTGGATGACTCCCAACTACTACCACAGCAAAACAACGAAGGTACGGCCATTTTTATTTTTTGCTAAGGTTGATTAGCTGTGGCAGCCATCTTGAATCTGTTCAGCTTTAAAGGTCAATATGTTGTAGAGGTAAATTGATTACGTTCTGAGAGGTCCATTACAATCAGTTCAGTGGTTCATGAGATATTTTGCTAACAGAACAAACACAAGCAATGACATGACTGCCCATCTTACAGGGTGGTGAGAGATAAATAACACATGCAGTTAGGTTATTGTGAAAAAGAAATGTTTCTTCCTTTCATGGTCTGGCTCTTAAGATTTTAACTTTTTGTAAACCTTCAGATCCCAGACTACAGAAATGCTGTCATTGTTGCCAAATCTCCAGCTTCAGCTAAAAGGTGAGTCTTTTTCCTCCTAGCTTTATCTTCATCTGGTCACTCATTATGTCCTAGATAACATGTTAATCATTCCCTGTTGTCCTTAACTTTTCTTTAAAGGGAACTCTGACTAGTTGTAACATTGGACATTATTTGATAAAAATTTACTTCAACTATGAAAACCACAAGGTAAAAATACTGTAGGCTGTTAATCAAAAAAATATACTGTCACACGGACGTTGCCTTGTTATTTAGGCTGCAAAGCATTCTGGGAAAATGATTATGCTCACCGGTGTGAGCTCAATCTAGCTTGAATGTCAAATTTTGGACAACACCTGATGTTCAGCCCTTTTAGCTGCTACTACTGTATTTATTAAGCTCTATTAAAACAACCACAACTGTATTAAAGTGCTGTACATGTAAAATCAAAAACATTAAAAACAATAAAATAGGAGTAAAACAAACTAAAATAAGTACCAGGCTGTGGCAAAAGCAGGGAAATAGAAATGTGTTTTTAAAAGAGTTTTAAATATGGACTGAAAAAATAAACCCGAAATGTAGAAATGACTCGGCCTGAAACAGAAAATGATGGAGGACAACAGAGCTGCTTCACTGAAGGCTCACCTCAGTTTTAGCCTTTTAGCTTTTCTTTAGCTCCTGAACTAATGTGTATATATGGCGACTATATGATGCTAGCTCCCGAACTAATAAAATATAAAGCATTAGCTCCAAAACTAATTCAGTAAACATCAGCTTTGATTGTTCTATATTGTGAAGAACAACAAACTAATCAAAAATATACATTTATTGTCACACATTATAGCTTTTATTAGCCATGACTCTTTGTGTTTTAGTTTGAAAGTGGCAACCATCATCATCATCATCATCATCATCATCCCCAAAATCATTGTGTCAATAACATGATGTCATGCTAGTGAAAAATGTAAAAAAACAATTAAAAAAAAGTCATTAGATATTTTTATGTATCACAAACAACTTTTAGCAGAATAGAAAAATAACATATTTACACGGAGTCCGCGAGGGGACATGGGAGATGTTTTTTTTTGTGTTCGCACGCAATACTATTGCGTTACCTTGCAATACTTTTGCGTTTCCTCGCAAATGTTTGTGTTCCCTCGCAAAATTATTTTGCGTTCCCACTCAAAAGTTTGTTTTGTATATGAACCAAATTAAATCTGACTTTTATTTTGAAATATCCGGTTACCAAAACAGGATGTGTCGCCACAAGTTCGTGAAATCGACATTGATGTTGCGTGGCTGCACTGTGTTAAAATATCAGCACATGACATACTTCCATGCGTGG